AAACTTATCTATAATCAGATAAACCTAAAAAACCTAATATTAAAAAAATTTTTTATTTAATAAATCCGATCTTATCCAATCTTATTTTTCGAGGTTGTTACATATATTAAATGTAACATGTTATTACAATTAAATTAATCCATATTTTTATTATTCTAATTGAATAATTCTTTTATTATTTATTTAAAATATTATTTTTATTCTAAATTAAAGTCAATTTAAATTAAAGATTTTAGGTTAATCTAAATGTTTAAAATTTTAAATATATTAGATACAGTGGCTTCCAAAAATAATACACCACCATTATTGTTAATCATTATTTTCATATATTAACATCAAATTAAATCTAATTAAAATAATTTATTAATTGAATAAATAATTTATCATATAATATAATAGAACATTATAAATTTTGAATGAATTAATTAACATGCTTTTTCAATTACGTGACATTTAATCAAAAATTGCTGATGCGTTATTTTTGTCAATTATTAGTTGCTGATCCTTATATGATACCTTCTACAGTATATAATATGCTGTATCGTAAAAATTATTTTAGCCAGTGATAACACATACAACACAAATCAGGTGACAAATGTTCAAATTGAAGTTTAGTCAAAAATGGATTTCACTAACACCCATCTTTTTTTTGCGAAAGAAAATAAATAAAAAAAAATGCTATTTTTTTAACTGATGCATCATATTTAATCAACTATTAGAGAAATAAAAACATAATTTCATTCGGTTAGAATTCAAAAAAAAAATCTATCATACAATGAAATAACAATTGAGATCATAAAATTCATAATCCGTAAATTTATTATTAAGATGCAACATTTTACATTTTGCAAAATATTTAATCTGGCAGCAGGTAAGATCATTTCATAATGCGAAAATGATCACAAAAATACGTGAGGATTCGTTGGAGATGTCATCACACTCAGACATGATATCAAGTCCAAGTTTTCTATCACCTTGATTGATGTTGCGTTCAACTTGAAGGGAAAAAAAATCAAGATAAAGAATATAAACAATAAAAATAAAAAAATAAGCAGCAGAAAGTGCATACTAAATACTGCGCATACAATAAACTTACCCTTCAAGAAAATAACATCACCCGTATTAAATTCTTTGATGTGGGTTTCAATGTTGAATAAAGGTCTTGACCACTTTTGTCAGGGATCATGATCAGAAAGCATCGAAACTACTGTCAACTGCTTTATGGTGAAGTCTTGTGTAAGGGTTTGGTAGTTTCATAGATGATTCTTTTTTATACCTTTTTCAAAACTCAACCAAACTTTAACTTTTTTTTAAAATTCTCAAAAATAAGCCTAATTAAAGCCCAAGCTGTTAAAAAACAACAACTATAATAGGGTTTAAAACAGAAGCAGAGTTGTTTTCTTCATATTGTGTGCATTTTTCTTTTAAATGAAGCACCATCTACGAAGCCCATAAATTTTCTTCGCCATAATCTCTCCTAGTGCAAGAGGACATATTGTAAATAATATAAAAATAACAGAGGAAAGGTCTCTTTTACGTCCAAGAAGGAAAATTTATGCAAGAAAAAAATTTTTTCCTTTGATAGTTTTACGATAAGAATAAGTTACACCACACTTATCTTTTTAGGAAATTACAAAGAAGGTATTTTATGAAGGGTGGAGTGATAATTTCTACTCTTTTACCTCAATTAAGCAAACTTTGCTAACGAAATTCACAAGACTCATATTACTGTACACAAAATACAAAATACTGTATATATTACGATAATTAACATTTTTACTTTAAACTTCAACTTAATTTTTCTGATATCTTGGTTAAACAAGAATAAACTTCCTTTAGTTAAATTTAGTTTCTTTTAGTTGACGAACTAACTTTATTTACTCATTCTTGATTGGTTGTAATTGTAGAGCAAATGACATTACTCAGATATTCACTAAAGATTTCTCTTAATTCTGGATTAGAGTAAATAAAATATTTATATTTTGTTTTTGCTTTCTTTTTCGCCATAATTTTCTTTGATTTCTAATATATTTCTTTAATAGTTGTCATGGAAACATTATCTGTAGTAAGTAGAAATAACTCTTGTTTAGATTTATTTGATGGGTATTTTTTCTTAATTTATCGAGAATTGGCACTTTCTTTGTAATTAAAGAAAGTGGAATTTAGCGATTGTATAATTTTTAGAAAATTTTTGAAAACTCTTTTCCATTTAGTAAGCTCAACGAGGTTTTTAAGTGAGCTTTCTATTTTTAATCTTTTTAGAAACGGGTTCTTTAAACGTGATCAGTGAACACATCATACATCAAATTTATAATTCAAACTTAGTACTGCGCGAATTTGAAAAAGATTGCTTAAAAACTACCATTCATTAGTAATCAATACTGTAAATATGGTAATAGTTAACCAAATAGTTAGTTTGTGAAGCCATATGGATTTTGTTATAAATACAGTATGTCATTTTTTTAATCGCAAAATTTTTTATTCAGCATACATTCTCAATAATCATTTTTATCAAAAAATATGCCCAAAAATACTATAACTATTGAAGAAAGAGTTCGGGCAATTACTTTACTTGAAGAGGGTTATAGTAGTTGCAAAGTTGCAAAGAAACTTGGCAATAATATCTATTCTCAGGTTGAAAAAAAAGTATGAAGAAACTGGAAGTGTTAAAGATAAGAAAAGAATAGGATGTTCATCTATACTAACTTAACGAAATGAACGAACAATTATTTGGCGAATAATGAGTAATGACTGTACCACTGCTGTTGATGTCAAAAGATCATTAAAAGTAAATGAAAAAATAGAAGTAAGTGCCAACACAATCCGCAGAGTACTCAAAAAAAATGGATTGCGTTCAAGAGTAAAGCAAAAGAAGCCTTTATTATCTAAAAAGCATCGCAAATCCTGGTTGACTTTTGCTAAAAATATCAACATTGGACAGTAGAAGATTGGAAAAAAGTTGTCTGGTCCGATGAGTCAAAATTTCAAATTTTTGGATCAGATGGCAGGAGTTATTGTTGAAAAAAGCCTGGTGAATAACTCCAAAACTGACATGTCAAACCTACTGTAAAATTTGGTGGAGGAAGTATTTTTGTGTGGGGATGTTTTACTCATTTAGGGGTTAGGTATCTCTGTCGAATAGAGGGAGGACTTAATGGAGAACTTTATCGTCAAATCTTAGAAGAAGATTTCTTACAAACATTAGAATATTACAATTTAAATCCCCAAACTATTATATTTCAACAGGATAATGATTCTAAACATACAGCAAAACTTACTCAAAAATGGTTTGTGAATAATAATATTGAAGTTCTTTTCTGGCCTTTACAATCTCCGGATCTCAATCCAATTGAACATTTATGGAACAATGTGGATCAATGACTTAGAAATCTGAATATTGAAATCAGAAATAAAAAAGCTCTTTGGAAATGTATTGAAAATATTTAGAATGAAACCTCTTTAGAATTATGTACAAAGTTAATTAATATAATGCCCAAAGAGAATTAGCGATATTTTGAAAGCAAAGAGTGGGTATACAAGATAGTAAAAATAATAATTTATTTTTTCAGTTTTTTAATTATTAAATAGATTCCAAATAAAATAATTGGAGTAATAAAACCGTAAGAATAAAAAGTTATTTTATTCCTATTAGAATTAGACTCTTTTAGTTCTTGTTTAATAAAATCCTCATTTTTTAAATCACTAATTTCATTTTTTACAAAATAAACATTCTTTTTAGTAGACAAATGTTTTTTATTACATGGATATTCAGGAAGGATAAAAATTTTATCTGATCTACAATTATTATAAATAAGCTCAAAAGCTTCTTTGCTCACATTATCAGGATCTAAAGTAAAAATTCAAATATCAAAATTAGGACGTACAGTCATTGCTCTTTCTCAGTAATTAGCAATTCTTTGATTATCACCATTTATAAAAAAGTATTCACTAAATCTTTTAAAACTTTCTACAAATTCATCTATTCTAACTTTATTAAGCACAGATGAAAGATTTTATTTTCTTTTAGTTCAAGAAGCAATTCCAAAAACTATTTCTTCAATTAGATTTTTTTCTTTTAAACATCTTAATAAATCTGCTGCAATGATAGTAAAAGATCTATTTTTTAGATAATCTCAGTCTCCCATATATTTTTTTTCTAGTTTTGAACATTCTTGTTCATATAATTTTTTATCTGTAATAGTTTTTCTTAATTCTCCTCGCTTCTTTTGATAATCTTCAAATTTCTTGATAGATTCTTTAATCATTTGTTTGTTTGCATCATCAGCTCCTTGAACACCATCTTCATTTTCGTAATCTTTTTTTTCTCAAAAAATCTCATGATATTTTTTAAAAGGGATGTTTTTTTTAGAAATTCCGTAAATAGCTGATGATTTTATAGGTCGTATAACATCATTAATATTATAAATAATTTTTAATTTTCTGCCTTTTTGCTGACTAATTTTTTTGATTAAGGAATATAGGGAGTTAGTCATAATGCTTATTCTTTATTATTTATTTTTATTATTATTTAGCATTTAGCTTTTTTCTGTTTAAATGTACATACAGCCCAATAAAAAATTTGATATAAAAATTCCATAAAAATATAAAGTTTTATAACATATAATTTTTATGAAATTTCAGTATAATGTATACGTTTTTTCCTTAAGTAAAAACCTTAAACTTAATACGGAAAAGTAGGAAAAAATATATACAAAAATCATGGACAAAACGTAGATCTTATAATGCTTTAATGGATGCAAAAATTATGAATAAAACGGATATTTTATAATGCTTTAACGGATGCAAAATCATGGATAAAACATATATTTTTATATGCTTTAATTAAGCAATTTA